GTCAGAGGCAAAGCCTACGAGGGGTGGTGGAACCACATGTCACGGCTACTGCCGGCTCCACCCCACGATAGCCTCCGAAGGCTGACTTTGCGGCACCATCATCGGACGATGTCGACGAGTTGGGTCGCTCTCGCGGTAGCCAGATGACCTCCCATGCTAGTATCATCGGCTAGGGCCGCAGGAAGCGCGGGGGAGGGCGCTGGAAGCAACACGGAGCTCCGTTGGACGTTTTCAAGATTAGCGTGTCAGAGTGAAATGGAACTAGCCATAAGGGGATCCGGCGTGAAAGAGCTATCGACATTGACGTTGACCCAGCCGATTCCACCGATGTCGACGTCATCACCTCCGCGGCTACCGCGCTTTCGCTCGACGACACCGTGGAGAATCGCACCGAGGACCTTGTGCCGAGGCGATAGGCCGAATCACTTTGGGCCCCGACTCCGCCCCCACCCCTCGGAGTGGGGGCACCCGCCCCGGTCGGGCACTGCTTGTGGCGCCTGGCAGGGGCACCCCCTGGGTGGGGGCCGGCGATTCCCATGCCGGCTCTCCGCCACAATCCCCGCCGGGAGGGAATCCCTGCTCACAGAAAAGGGCTCCGAGCCCTGTCTCGCGCACGCCCCTGGCGGGCGCCGCGGACCTGTTCCGCGAGCGCTCGTCAGCGGGTGGTGTGCGGTTCTTGCCGTAGTTCCTCTTCGGTCGCCTAGCCCCGGCGCCGTCTGTCGGACGCCTGCGTGCCACGAGTGCGAGCCGCTCGCGGTTCGTACACCCGCTTGCGGGTTCGAGTGGCTTAGCGGGTTCGAGCGGCCGTCACACATTGGCTGCCGGGGTGTGCCGAGGGGGGGCTGGGTGGGCGGTAAACCGCCATTGCCCGGCGCTGCTTGCAGTGCTCTGGGTGGTAGTGGCGGCGCTCCAAGAGTGGTGCTCTTGGGAAGAGGTTCCTCCTTTCCGCTCCCCCCCCGCATTCGCAGGGGCGAGACCCAAAGTGATGTAGTTAAGGCAACCCGAGCGACAACTCAGATTCACGACACACGAGGCCCCGCCGTGCAGGGCGCTACGGGCTCCGGCCGGACGGAGCCGGGGCCCCGTTTCCGCACTGCGGCGCGGCGCACGGTGCCTCCGGGGGTCCCCGCGCCCCCCCAGAGCCCTCTCCGGCCGCGCGCCCGACCGGTGCGGCCTCCGAGTCGGCGTCTAGCGCGCGCGATAAGGGTTTTGCTCGCCTTCCCTGGGGCCCCGAGTTGCGTGACTGTCTCTGTGCGATTTCGGGCCCTGGTGTGAACGGCGGCACATGAAAAAGAAAAAACGCGCCTCGCAAACTGCAAACCGCGGGCTGCTTCTGCGCCATGCTTTCTGCCTCCCCGCCTCCAAGCTGCTTCAGCGCGATCGAACGCCACGGTGGGTATGCCTGCAAGCTGAGGGTCGATGGCCGGCAGACGTGGGCGCCGACGAAGCCGACAGCCGCGGAAGCGGTGGCTGCGGCGCAAGCCTTCGTGGCGGAGAAGAAGCTCTACCGGGTCCCAGCCTACCGGGCAAAGGGTGGCATGACATGGAGCGCCTTTCCGCCGGGCGCGGAGGATGCCGAGGGGGATGGGGAGGCAGAGGAGGAGGGGGAGGGGGAGGAGGAGGAGGAGGGCGTGGAGGGCGAGGAGGAGGAGGGTGAGGAGGAGGAGGGCGAGGAGGAGGAGGAGGAGGAGGAGGAGGAGGAGGAGGAGGAGGAGGTTGACAGACTCATGTTCCCGCATGGCGGGACTGCGACAAACGGGCTGTGCCGCTGCGGCGCCTACCTGTACCAGCAGTTTTATGACTGGTCTTTCGGCTGTGTCAAGTGCGGAAGAGATGCACAACCTGCTGACTGGTGGCGTGTCGGCACGAACCAGACGGGCATTTATGGACCTCGGTCAGAGAAGAAGTACTGGGCCAATCGGGGCTTCACCTCCGTCCCGCGCGGCCCCTCGCCCGAGGTTTGAAAGAGTGCATCCCCGAGGGCGAGGCATTCGCTTGTGGATGGCCTGACGATCGAATTTGATGAAAGAGAGCTCCCGCGCGGCGGACGGGCGGCGCAGAACGAGAGCAAGACGTGGGATGTTTGGGGCTGTGTCGTGTCGAGCCGACCTTCGCGCCCGCTCGGCGAGCCTCGACGCGGCGCAGGAAGCCGTGACGGCTGGTGCTGCACACCGCCATCGCAGCGTGTTGAAAAGGCGCTCTTGTCGCCACCGCGGCGCACACGATAAAACGTGCGTACGTGATCATGGTGGTGAGCTCGGTCGAAGGTGGTGGGCCGAAAACGGGAGTAGGTACGGCCGCGCGGGGCCACGGCGAGCTCCGCGCAGAAATCGCACGCTTCGCACGCTTCGCACAAATCGCGCGCGCAACAGCCAAGCTCCCAACTCCACCACCCGGGACCCCCGCACCAGCACCACGCCCGTGTCCCAAAGTGAGAATTCCGACTGTAGTCACACACCCGCAGAGCTGTGCGCGAGAGCTGTCACGGAGCCTTACGAGGTCCGACCTGCGGGCGGGCACAGCTCTGTGCCGACCGAGGTAAGAGGAAACGAGTAAAGGGCAGGGGAGGGCGCACTTGCACGCGTCCAGAGGCAGTACACTTCATGAGCGCCCGTCTGGCCACATTTGATCATCTGCACCCCATCCTGGGCCAAAGGGACCGTACACGGGAAAGCCATCGTACATCCAGCCCACCTGGGGGCTGTGCTGCCCGATGTACTGGCCCAGCTGCGCCAACAAACACGCCTGGGATGTGGTAGTGGTACTGGAATCCGGCTGACGACGATCCGCTCGAGTGGCCTCCACACCGATAAGGAGGCGTCCCGGCGGAGGTGCTGGAGTGTGAGACCTGAGGCTGCGGAGGTGACGCCTGAGGTACCGGCCCGTGCACAGCGACTCAGCCGGCGACCGCCACGGGCTCAGGCGAGACTTGTCGACTCGTTCCGGCTCAGCTTCACCGTGGTCATCGGGCGTCTGTCGACGTCAGGACCACCCATACAGCTCGCGGGTTTGAGGTCGCAAGAGCCAAGATGGTGGCGTTTGGACATCCCAACCATCACACAAGACAGCCTGTAGGTGATGGCGGGACGGCGCAGTGTTTGTGGCACTCGGCAGTAGGCACCCGCGGCACGGCCCCGCTGTCGGCTCTCCCGGGCTGCGGAACCGGCCCCAGAAGGGGACGGTCCGGGCGAGTGTGGCAGCTCCTGTGCTAGTATGGGCACCCTCGATCACTACACTACTGATCCTGGTCATTAGAGCTGCCAGGGATAGCGTCAGGAGCCGGTAGGAGTCAAAACCCACTCATATTTGAGACATGTACATGCACATGCATGTGACATCGTGTCCCATATGCTCGTGCAACGAGCCTGCAGGCTGCAGCAGAGTCGCCGACGAGTCTCGGTCCGCGTGCCTCCCCGTGTCGCGCATCGTTCTCACCCATCCATAAACCCACTTTGGCCTCACTAAAGCGAAGTCTTCCCCTCCCTTTACATACACACACACGCTCAGTTGTTCTCACCGCAGTACGGCGCCTGCCAGTCCGTGACGGCTACGCCCTGCGGCCAGAACACTAGCTCCCGCGTCTCCGGGTTGTACCGCCAGGCGCCGCGCGGGGACTGCACGTGGTCCAACCCCCTGCGGGTGCTGGGGGCGGTCCCCGCGCTGCGCCGCCTGCGCTTCTTCCGAGCTCCCGCGCCGGCGGCCTCTCTCTGCTCCACAACGGCCGCCTCGGCCGCCGGGGAGGAGGCGCCGCCCGCCGCAGCCGCACTCGCCCCCGCTGTCGAGGAAGCGGTCGGGAGGTCGACGCTCATGCCCTCGAAGAACTCGCGCGCGCAACGTAGAAAATGGTGCTCCGAAGTCAGACAGTGGCAGTCGATGTCCTCGAGCGCGCGCGAGACCCAGCAAAGCTGTGATCTCACATAGCCCGTCACGCCGGCGGGCAGGTCACCCACGAAGCCGTAGCTGCCGCTGCGTGACGACTTCGAGGCCAATGACAAGAGAGTGACGCAAGACGGTCGTCCCCACGGGTATGCCACCTTCTGCTCGATAAGCGTGCCCTTGTCCCCCGTTGTCACGTCGTAGTGCGACCCGCTGGCCTCTGGGACAAAGGTGCTCTTGCCGAGCTCTGTGTAGCGGTCGGCCACGTTGCAGCCGGCCCGCAACGCCTGCCCGACGAGGGCGTCGCCCGCAGGCGGCGCGACCAAGGCCGGCGCGGCCACGAGCGAGTGGCTGGGAGGGCCGTCAACGTAGCGCTCCTCGTCGGCCGCTGGGCAAGGGACGACGCGGCTCACCGGCTTGGAGCGCTCCACGTCGCCGTCACGGTACTTGACGTCGACAGTACCGCAGACGTTCTTCCGCAACACGTCGCCCAGGAACCACAGCTCGTCATCGTCGAATCGCCACTGCGCAACGACAGGTTGCTCCACAGAAAGGTGGTCATGTGGGTGGGGGCGGCGCGAGCGCCGCTCCCCACCGCCCTCCGGCCCCTCCTCCGGTGAAGGCACACTCGGGCCCGCTTCTCCCGCAGCCGGCACCACGTGCTCCGCGAGGAGCGCCTCGTAACGCGAAACATTCGCCGCAAGGCATAGGCACATACCACCGGGGCCAGAGCGAATGCCCGGTGCAAGACAAGCTGGCACCCGCACGTGCGGAGCGAGAATGTTGCACTGTATCCTCCGAGCCCCTCTGCTCTTAGGGTGGAGGCGTCCTCCTCATCTGAGGACGCCCCATCCCCGCGGCACTTGCCACCGCCGCCGGACCCGCCGCCGCCGGACCCGCCGCCGCCGCCGCCGGACCTGCCGCCGCCGCCGCCCCCGCCGCCGCCCCCGCCGCCGGACCCGCCGCCGCCGCTCTTGCCGCCGCTCCCGCCGCTCCTGGGGGCGGGGCCCGCGCAGGGCGCCTCTAGTGTATCTGAAGAGAGGATTCAACTTTGGGGGGGGAGCCGCTTTGTCTGTGGACGGCAAATCGTGGAGTTGCGAGTCACGCTCGGGCGGACAGCATCGATGCCGTCGCCGGACACGGCGGCGAGGCACACGGGCGCCGGCGTGGCGCGTCGGCAGGCGCACCACGAGCGGATGCGTGACGAGCGCGCTCGGGAGGCGGCCGCGGGCAACGCGGAGCTTCCGCCGGAGGACGACGCGGTCGAGATGGCGAGCGCCGCCCAGCTGCTGGACAGCGTGCGCAGGGCGACCCTCCATCAAGTGGCCGACCACGGTCGCACGATTCGAGGAGCGGCGGTGCGAGCACTGCGGCGGCGCGGTGCGGCTGCGATGGCAGCGCGAACCCCACGCCGAGACCGCAGCCGTCGAGCCGCTCGCGGTGGGCGCGGCCGCATCGCTAGGCGAGAGCTTCCGGGAGACGTACTGGGCGTGGTACAATCTCTCGGCACGGGCCGCGATCGGCAACGCGGCGTACGCGGCCGGGGCGGCGGCGACAGCCGAGGCCAGCGCGAGCGAGGCGGCAGACGCGCCCCTGCTGGGCGCGGCCGTCGACGAGCTCGCGCTCGACGACGAGACGGTCGCCGAGGCGATCGCGGCGGTAGACGGAGGCGACGGAGTGCCGGGCTGCGGCGATGATGCCGATGAAGACGCGGGCGATGACCGCGGTGCGTCGCAAGAGGTTTGATATTGGAGTGCGAATGTGAGTCGCGTGATAGGGTCGTGTGTGGCTAACCTCGGGATGACGAGCGAAAACTCTGTCTGGCGGGTGTCCTACGATACGCCAAGTCCCTACCTAGCTAGCCCGTCTGCCGCTGTCTGTGCCGCAGGGAAAGGCCCAGAGCGAAGGGGGAAGAACTCTGAGAGAAAGAGGACCGAGCAAAAACAACCGTGGGCGAGGGATGACGAGGGCTTGTGCCTGTGGCGTCGACGGTAAACAAAAAAAGGAACGAGGCAGGCAAATTTGGCGCTAGCGATGACTCGCGGCAAAACTTTGCCGTTCGGTTAATGGCCTTGGCGCCCCTGGCGAACATGACCTGGCGGACGTTCATCGACATCTTTGCCGGTGAGTTCGCTGAGCATCCGAACGGGAAGAAGGCGGTCGTCTGGCTGCGAGAGTGCATCAAAGGACTGAACGAGGAAGACCTCCACCAGATCAACTTTCGGCTGCGGCTCGCGTACAAGCGCGCTCGGCGCGCAGAGGCCGAGCCCGAGACGAGGCATCTGACTCCGAGCTACCTGGAAAACCCCGGGTATACCGGGGTATTTTGCGGGTACACCTGGAAACCCCGGGTAGTTTGCCGGTTTCCTCGGTTTCGCCTCAGATTTTGCCCCAGACCAGCTCTCAGACTCAGGGAAACTCGAGAGTTGCCAGAATGGAGCTCCAAACACCTTCTGGTTTCCCTGGAAATTTCCAGAAACGAAAAGTGGTGGGGACCCTCGTTTCCTTTTTGGTTTCCGGAAACATGTGTGCTGGCCAAGTTGGGGGCAAGAGAGGGAGGAGCCCTAGCCCTGGGGGGTGCGCGTTCGCAGGGAAAGGGTCATAATGATAATATCAACGATATAAAAGAAAGAAAGAAAACGGACAACCCAAGGGAGGAACCGCACAATTTTTTCTTTTAGTTCTGCCAGCGCGCTGCCAATGACTGTGCTGCTGCTGGCTTCGATGCTGCTGTCGTCGCTAAATAATTTTGCCCAAGTGGCCACGCCGCAGACCGTGACGCTCAACAACGGCCTGGTCATGCCCAAGCTCGCATTCGCCGCCAACGTGTGGCCCACAGCGACTTGCCGCAACGCCACTCACCTCGCCCTCGACGCTGGCTTTCGCTTCGTGTGGTCGTCGGCGCTGGTGCACTCGGAGTGCCAGCGGGCGCAGCGCGAGGCGATTTCCGAGCACCCGACGGTTCGGCGCGCCGACCTCTTTTTGGCGGGCACCGTCGATACGCAGGGCTGCGCCACACTCGACGACTGCCGCTCGGCCACGCTGGCCGGGGCGCAGGCGCAATTCCGGATCCTCGGGCCCGAGCCGCTCGAGATGCTCATGCTCGACTATCCGAGTTCGGCCGGCTGTGCCGGCATCACCGGGCAGTGGCAGGCCTTGACCGCCCTGTACCGCGCCGGCAAGGTGCGCTCTGTGGCGGTGAGCAACTTTGCGGCTGCGCAGCTGTCGTGCCTCTTATCTGCGGAGGGGGAGGGCGGCGCGGCGGTGCCGCCCGTGGCGAACCAGATGCGGTTCTACGTCGGCCACACCGGGGTCGACCTCGCACTCAACGCGCGGCACGGCATCGTCGTTCAGGCCTACAGCCCGCTCGGCAACGGCGCCCTCATATACGCATCCGCCGCTCCTGCTGCCACCAAGCTGGAGCCTTCCCTGAGCCTCTCCGCCTTCTACCGTAGGCGCCCTCGCATCGGACCCGCTGCTCGCGGCGATCGGCAGGGCGCACGGCAAGAGCGCGGCGCAGGTGGCGCTGCGCTACATCCTGCAGAAGAACGTGACGGTCGCGACGCAGAGCACGTCGCAGGCCGCAGTGCGCCTCGGCGGCGAGGCTGTGTAGAGGTGCGGAGCCAAGCTCTCGCCGATTGCGATAGGTGCACCTCGCCGAGGATGCCGCCCTCTTCGGCTGGAGCCTCGGTGCGGCGGAGATGGCGAGGCTGGACGTGTACCACCGCCGGGTGGAGAGGCTCGACGCGCTCCACGAGGCGACCGCCGGGGAGGAGGCGCCCGCCGGGGAGGTTGTGCCACCGTCCTGCCCGCCCGGCACCGTGCCGTGGCCGGGCGAGGCGTGCGAACCCCTTCGACGCGCGGAGGCGTCCGCGCGCGCCTTTCTGCGCGCAAACATGTTCCCCTTCGACGCGCCAAACACGGGGACGCTCTTCGACAACTTCTCGGCGAGCACTTCGTCCGGCGTCGCGCAGGCGACCGCCTCGCTCGCCCTCTCTGCGCGCGCGCGGTTCGGCTGGGCGGCGAGCGTGCCACGCCGCCTCTTCGAGGGGTACGTGCTGCCGTATGCAAGTGTGAACGAGGCGCGGACCGACTGGCGGCAGCTGCTCTGGGAGGCGCTCACGCCGCAGCCGTGGGTGGAGGCGCTGCCGAACGCGTCGTCGATCGAGAGCGTGGCGGTCGCTGTGAACCGGAACCTGTGGGGCGCGCTAGGCAACCTGACGGGCCGGCGCGTGGCGACGCTTCCAGCAGCCTACCCTGAGCCCAACACGCTGAGCGTTCTCCATGCAGCCTTGCAGGCGCGAGGCGATCCGCTTCAAGTCGGACCAGACGCCGCTCGTCTACGACCCGCTCTCGACCATCCTGTTTGGCTACGCGTCCTGCACCGGCGTCTCGATCGCCTACGTCGACGCGCTACGCACGCTCGGCGTGCCGGCGCGGCTCGCAGGCACGCCCGCGTGGCACGGCAAGCCAGAGGCTGGCAACCACAACTGGGTGGAGGTGTGGCTCAACGCGACTGCTGGCTGGCGCTTCATCGAGGCGGCGCCCGCCGGCGCGGGCGAGACCTTCTCCGACCCGTGCGACAAGTGGTTCTGCAATAAGGCGCACTTTGGGGAGGGCACGCGCGTGTTCGCCGCGGCGTTCCGGAGGGAGGAGTACGGCGAGGGGCGCGCGGCGACGCACTACCCGATGGCGTGGGACCTCGACAACAAGGGCGTGGTGGGCGTCGACAGGTCCGAGTACTATGCGAGCGTGTGCGGCGCGTGCGGCGGAGTCGAGGGTGCCGCGCTTTATAGTGTTTAGAGACTAGCCGCTCGTGTCGTCACCGCCGGGTCCTTCCTAGGCCGGCCCGTCACAGTTATTGCGGGGTGTCGGTTGTAATCATTAGGGCAGGAAAGAAGCCACGCGGAGGAACGGTTTTTTCTTTTGTTATAGAGATGGAAAAACTTGGATGATAGATCGCTTCCGTGTCTCTCTCTCTGCTCGCTCCTCCAGACTCCGACTCGGCCGAGCGTTCGTTTTGATCTCTGGGTGAGTGGGCGCCCGCCCGCCGCCTCTGAGGGGGTCGGCCCCCCTAGACTGAAAACAAAAACAAAATCGAGAAGCAGTCAAAAACAGCCTGCGAGAGCGGCGCTGCGCGCCGCCTACTTCGTGCGGGTCGTGAGTAACCCCAAACGGCATCCCAAAACGTGTAACAGCCGAGACCATCAGATAGGCGGATGGGCGCACGCACCCGCGCAGCGCCGCAAAGAAGCTGGCGACGGCAATGCTTCATGATGAAGGAGCTCAACCGATTCGAGGACGAGACGACATCGAGGATGTCATGTTGCGCGACGGCGTCATCCATTTCGTCAAGCCACATTGCACATTCATCGTGACCGTCGCCACCCTCGCCTACGTCGCCGCCGTCGCCATCATGGGCCTCGCTGCCGAGACGGTGCTGTTGCATCTGACTCAACTCTCCCACCCCCCCTCTCCTATGCCGACGTGTCCCGTGCTCCCCCGTCCGCCGATGTCTCTGCTGTGCCGCCCGGCGGAGCTCTGCGGCGGGCCCTCCTCGCCGCCTTCGCTGCCGCTGCATCGCTGTCGGCTCGTCATTTCTGTCTACGGTCATTGGGGGCTGCCAACGCTGTTCTCTCTCTCTCTCTCCCGGGTCAGCTCTAACCTGCCGTGTCGGGACGTCGCCACCCCCCCTCTCCGCTGATCTGCATGTGCTGCGATTCTCGCCTTGTCCCAGGAGCCAGGTGCGTGCGTCTACGTAGTGTGGGCCCTGCCCCTGGCCCCCCTGTGTTTTCTGTTTTCTGTTTTTCAAAACGCCCGCCCGCCCGCCACCCCGAGGCGGCTCGGCCCCCCACTCACCCAGAGATCAAAAACGCTCGGCCCTCGTCTTCTCTGCACGGCGATGCCGATACATAGACTCTCAGACACAGCACACACTGATCACTGTGATCTGTTGTGTGGTCGCACACAAGGGAGACAGCACGTACACAGACAGCACACCCCGCCCTCGTCTGTGAACTGAGCTCGGCTTGGCTCAGCAAAGCACGATTGAGCCTGGCCACTTGGCGGCCTGGCCTGGCGGGTACCCCCGCATCTGCTTTGGAGTGAACTGTCCCTGAAGTGCTGCTCGCAGCTGCTGCCGAGAGTCAGCGTCCATCCGAAAGAGGTAGAAGACGGACGCCGCGCGTCGCCCCCTCCCAAAGTGTGACTGGATCGTCGGGTGCGCGGCAGTGACATAGCCCGTGGCAATCGACGAGTAAATCGCGGCTCGCTCCTCGTCGTACCAGAAAAGATGCGCGTCCCTCAGCATCTTGACCGTGACAGACGCGAGCTCCTTGCCCTCAAGGTCGACGAGCCGGACGTATGAGCCGTCAACCTCAAGCCAAGCTTGCTGCTCCTCCTTCAAAGTGCACTCCGCCGACCCCTGAACAAAGAAGAGCTTGTACGAGCCGGTCACGAAGACAGGGAGACGCGAGATCACCTTCAGCTTCTTCTCCTGCGCGGAACGGCAGAGGGGATCTCTCGCATAGCGCATGCCGATGCGGCGGGGCACCACGCGGCGTGCAGTGGCGTGCAGCGCGGAGATAGGTGTCATTCTGGACAGAGGCGCATGGCCGACGGACCGGTGTGAGGGCATCCATCGACAGCACTGCGCACTGCTCCCAGCGAGCACGATCCTGAGGCCAGGGCGCGAGTCGTGAGATTCAACGCAATGTGAGCAAGGCGCGGGCGTGCGGGCGCGGTGAGGAGAGCTCGGGGGGCAGGACGCTAGGCAGGACGCAAGCGACGAGAGCGCGAGGCGCGGCGAGGCTCGCGTCACGCGTGCGAGGCGGCGGGTCGGCGCTGCGAGCGCACGCACACGTGACTTGCGAGGCAGGCGAAGCGTGGCAGGCGGCGAACGCGTTTGCGGCGGCGGCGAGGCGAGGCGATGGGGTCAGTGCGCGAACGAGCCTCCACCCCAACACGCACAGAGAGGCGCCGCAAAAAAATTAATGATGCACCCAAAGAACTCGTTCTGCGTGTGATGGATCCGCCGCGCGATTTCAAAACTGATAACTTAGCGCGTCGCATGTGTGACGTGTTGGTCCGATCCAGCCTTGTTGTGTGGTTACTGGTGTCAAGGCTCACAGACGCCATCATCACATGATCTCCGCGCGGTCCCGACTCATCCCAGACAGAGAAGTACATGGACGGCACAATACATGGACGGCACACCTATCGAAGACTCCTCCCCTCTGCGCGCGCGGCAAGAAATGCGTCGCTCAAGTTGTCATGGTCAGTGTCGCGCGGCCACCATGAAAGTTTGCGCAACCCGGTCAGGAACGCAGCACGCGTGTCCTCGACGGCGGACTCGCTGATGAGCGACAGCCCGTAGACAAGGAAAGCGGCACGGCACCGGCTTCGCGGCCCCCTCAGGCCAAGAATCGGCGCACCGTCAAGGTAGGCGAATCGGCGGCGCGGCGGCGCTGTGGTCGCTGTGGTCCGAACCACTAAGTCCCCGAAGAGATCGAGAGCATCTACTACTGGGGGTGACGCGCTGAGTGCGTCCTCGACCCGACTGAAGAGCAGACAAAGGAAGTGGGCAACACTCTTACTCGCGACGGCATCAGCACCTGTTAGGTTGCGGATGCTTCGCGCGAGCTCCGATTGCGACCACTCTGATTCGATGACGGCGATGAATAGTTGCATCTGAAGATTGCTGCTGTCGGCAAGCGCAACGCTCGATCTTAGCTCCCCCAACCGAGTAGCGCCACCAGTCAGAGCATCGGGCGTTATTAAGTGATTGGTCGGACGCGTGCGCGGGTCAGAGCGAAGCACAGCTCGGAGTGCGCACATTAGAACCGCCTCCGACCAGAGTAGGGATTGGCACTTGCCGCGGGCCTGGGGGTCGACCCAGTCAGAGTCGCACAGCGCGTTCCACACCGCGTCCCGGTTCCACCCGCCGACAATGAGTAACGGCGTGCGGCCGGCTGCCAGCGCCTCCGCGGCGTTGAACGCTGCCAGGGCCGTGTCCGCCTGAACACTCCCGTGGCGGCCGCCGCCCAGAACCATCTTGCAAAGGACCGCCGCGTCAACGGCGCGGTGGTTCCCGCCTCCCTGACCAATGGTCTCGTCTGCCTCCTCGTCGCTCACGGCCCCGTCGACATCGGCGGCGCTCCCGGCGGCAGCCGCCCCCCCCCCCGCGCCGCCCTCACCCCCCTCCCCGCCCACACCCCCCTCCTCTCCGGCGGCGCCACCGCTCAACCACGCGGCCGCCGCGTCAGCGGCGGGGGGCGGTCCATCGGCAATCAGATTATTGACCATCGCCTCGATCCGTTGAAGGCGCGTCGCCTCGGAGGCGGCGAGTATTTCCCTCGTTCGCACCGCGATGGCATTCACCAGCCGTTGCTGCCTGCGGACGTCGGCACCGCGGCGCTCCCCCACCGTGTTTGCTGTAACGCCAGTGTACAAGGAGGTCGGCAAGTTGATGTCACCCTCGGGGCCGATCGATGTGCCTGCGACCATGTAATTGCAGGAGCGGACGTCCAAAGATGACGGGCCGAGGCGCGCAAGCAGAGGCGAAAAGGTCTGCGCCACATCGCCGGAAAAGATCTGAGCGCTGTCGACTTGTGAGCCAAAAAACGCCTCGTGCCTAAAGTAGGCGGGCGACACGGACTCGACCGGCCGCAAGCGAGTGCTGCCCTGCGGGTCGGGGTCCACCGACTCGATGGCCGCCAGCTGATAACGAAGTGTCGCCGTCGCTTCGTACCGGTCGTACACAGCAGCAGCGAGGTCTGCGTGTGCAATTTCCTCTGCTGACAGCGCGCCGGGGCCGACGTCGATGCGGCGCCAGTAAGCAAAGAATGCAGCAACGAGCCGGGCGACGGCATACCCCTTGAGCCCGCCTAGCTCGGGTACGACTCGGCCCGGGCCCCCACCCAGCATTTTGACAACCGTAAAGTCAGCGATGCCCTCCTTGGCGGAGTCGAGCCATTTGCTCGGAGGAAGGTATGGGCCTGCTTGAGGTTTCGCTGTTAGCGCCTTGTGGTACGCGCTGACACCTGCTAAGCGCTGCTCCCAGCCGCTCTTTTGGCCGGCCGCCGTTCCGGCCCCCGGAAACGTCCACTGCAGGACAAACCTGGAACCGGCGACGCGAAGCTCGGACTGATTTGTGGTGTCCAGAGGTTCGCAGCCGTCTGCGAGGTTGTACTGCAGAGCATTCACAGAGTCCTGAGTTACCAGTATTAGCCGAGTGGTTCCGTCGACCGCCAGCTGCATCGGCGAGATGCCCAGAGTGTCGAGCAATTGAGAGCGACTCACCGAGTGAGGTGGAAGCTTCTCTTTGAGGGTGATGCCAACGATGAAGCCGTCGGAGAGAACAGGCTGCGCCTCGACCCAGTCGCCCATTCTGGCGCTCGCCAAGTCGAAATCTCCCAGGTCGCCCTTGGCGATGACCCGTCCGCGAATGCCGGCAGCGGAGCCACGAGGATATAGAGTGTCAATCGCGCTCGGCGGCAGCTCAAGCATTCCATACACGACATTGTCCGGGACCGCGGTCGCCGATGCATCCAGCAGCAGCCCAGCGAGGCCGTCCGCGGTGGTCGAGAGGCTGGCCGCGGGCACCCTTTCCGTCTCAAGTCGCTGACTCAATGTGACTTTCCCCGTATCGACCTTCGCACTCTTTGGCATCGCCTGCACTCAACGAAGGTGCGCGGCGCGCGTCGCTGTTTTCTTTTTCTTTTCGCTCTTTAAAGGCCTTTAAGACAGCATCGGACTAGAAGCAAAGTTTTTCTTCTGGATGGGATGGACTACCCCCGAAGCAGTCTCTCAGCAGCCTTGCAAAGCGAGCCGCGCCGCCTGCGCGTCCACGCCCATTTGCGCACGCGGGACCTATGTGAAGCGAGTTCATCAAGAATGATCCGTCCTGACCTGATGCATTTTGGCCTTTCGGGGACGTGATGACGATCGGCGTGCTGCAAAGAATTTGATGTTGCGCATGTTTCTGTGCTCACAACCAGTGATTACCCAATCCTCTCAAACAACGCGACTCCTCTCATTTGAGGGTTTGATCCGCAGAAGGATCCAGAAGGGGGGCGCAGCCTTCGCGCAAAATCTGGCAGCGGATCCGCGCAGAGCACCCCTGAAGCGGCTGACAAAGGGCCGAAACGGCTGACAAAGGGCCTCAGACCTGGTGTTCAGGGGTGCTCCAGTCTGCTCCAGTCTGCTCCAGTCTGCTCCAGTCTGCGCAGTCTAGCGGAGTCTCTGACGCAGTCTAGCGGGCATCGCGGCGATGGAGGACCACGCGTCTAGACGGGGGAGCTGCCTCTGGTAGCAGCAGCCCGGCACGGGCCGCATCGATTCCATTCACGCTGTCGCCATCACCCGTGAACTTCGCATCCGCACGAGCCGCGGAGTGCATTGGTGACATTGGCCCCACGCTGCTGTCTCAGGACCACGAGGTGTTCGCCGTTACTTGGGCGCGGGCGGAGGGCGGCGCGGAGGAGGAGGAGGGCGGCCCCATCATTGACGTGGGCGGGCGGACCCTCACCGACGGGGCGACCCCGCTGACGCCGCTGGTGTGGGCCTCGCAGCTGGCCTCGCCGGCCGGGGTGCCGCTGCCCGGCTTGCGGGTTGTAAACCGCACGGACCATTACCGCTGCAAGTCGACAGGCGGCATTGCGTGGCAGGCGGCTGTCGCTAGACACGCGGCTTGACGCGGCGAGCGACGCTCAAAAACAAAGGCGCTTCGTTTCCCCGGCCGCCGCGAGGGCGGGGGCGCGTAATGGTAGACGTAGAAAATTATTGCCTCTCGGATCGCGCGATGCGCCACACGCACACCCCGAGACACGCACACAGCTGACCGACATGACCCGATGCTCCCAGTGCAGAGAGGCCTCAGGCAGAGCGCAGAGATAGGCGAGAGAGGAGATGAGAGCGACAAGACTCTGGCATGTTGTGCGAGTATATGGGACAAAAGCGTCGAAAATGTCCCAAAAGCGTGACTCGAGTTTGTTGCAGCCCCACAGCTGGCGCGCGCTGCCAGGAAGCACCGCTCGCGTGTCGGCCGCACTCCCTGGCACCCAGGGAGTGCGGCCGACCGACCAGACCGATTAGGCTCGACGCCGCGCTCGCTGTGGGGCTGCAACAAACTCGCCGCCGAGCGTGCCACCGAAGGCGTCCCGTCGGAGGTGATGGAGTGTGAGACCTGAGGCTGCGGAGGTGACGCCTGAGGTACCGGCCCGTGCACAGCGACTCAGCCGGCGACCGCCACGGGCTCAGACGAGACTTGTCGACTCGTTCCGGCTCAGCTTCACCGTGGTCATCGGGCGTCTGTCGACGTCAGGACCACCCATACAGCTCGCGGGTTTGAGGTCGCAAGAGCCAAGATGGTGGCGTTTGGACATCCCAACCATCACACAAGACAGCCTGTAGGTGATGGCGGGACGGCGCAGTGTTTGTGGCACTCGGCAGTAGGCACCCGCGGCACGGCCCCGCTGTCGGCTCTCGCGGGCTGCAGAACCGGCCCCAGAAGGGGACGTTCCGGGCGAGTGTGGCAGCTCCTTCGCTAGTATGGGCACCCTCTATATCATAGCACTACTGATCCTGGTCATTAGAGCTGCCAGGGATAGCGTCAGGAGCCGGTAGGAGTCAAAACCCCTCATATTTGAGACATCGTGTCCCATATACTCGCACAACATGCCCTCTTAAATAAGTTTACACCTCGTACCGTTCGAGCTCGTCGCCGCTGTCTGCATCCTCCGGCTCGGGCTCGGCCGCCGGCGACGGCATCGGTCCGAGCGCGGCGAGGCGGGCGTCGTCGCGGCACTCGGGCGCGCAGTAGGGCACGCCGAGCGCGGCGAACACCTCTTCCTCGGTGGCCGCCGCGAGCGACGGGCCTGTCCACACGCGCGGCCCGGAGTTGTTGTCGCCGCTGCGCTTGCACTGCGCGAGCCCCTGGTCGGACAGTGTGTAGCCGAGCTCCTTTGCGAGGAGGCGCAAGGAGCGATTGAAATGCGTGCCGCCGGTGAAGTAGATGAGCGCGAAGGGCAGCTGGCACCGGGCGTAGGACTTGATGTCGATGCGGCGCGCCACACCGCCGCTGCCGCCGCCGCCGCCGTCCGCCGCGCCCTTCGGCTGCAGCACGCCCATGTAGGTCTGCGGGCGCTCGGCGCGCCGCGCCTTCCTGCCGTCGCCCTTGCTCTCTGCGGCAACGGCGTAGCCGACATCACCCCGCCGGTGCTTTGCCGGCGGCGGGGCGCTGTGCGCAGCCTTGCGGCCGGGCACCTCGTTGTTCGACCAAGGTACCTGCAGATGGGCGGCGAGGAAGCCGCGCTTCTCCAAGTGCTCGAGCAGCGGCAGCAGCGGCACCGCTCCGCCGCCGTCCTCCTCGGACTCGTCGAGCCACGTCCGATAGCCGCCGCAGCCGCTGTCGCCGCCGCTGTCGCCGCCGCCGCCGCCACACGACGCGCGGACGATGATGACGTCGAGGTCGTGCGAGGACGCGGCGCCGCGGCGGTAGGATCCGCACGGCCCCCACACCTCAACGGCGTTCTCCCCGTACACGGCAGCACACGCGCGCTTGAGCAGCGCGACGCACGCCTCCGCCTCCGCCCGCGGTATGCGCTGCGCGATGTCGTCGTGGAAGTGCAAGCAAACGCGAGCCGCCTCGGAGTTCTTGAGCACGCCCATCACAGCGCCCGCCGCCGCACCGCCGCCGCCGCCGCCGCCGCCGCCGCCGCTGCTGCGCTCCCACGCCTGGTAGTCGCGGCGATACTGCTCTTGCAATGAGGCGAGGCCCGTCGCGCCCGCCTTCCACAGCCGCTGGGCCAAGCCGCGGCCGACCCACTTAACGGTAATCAACTCCGCCACCGCCTCCCATTGCCTTGCGTGCGGCGAGCGCAGCTTTTCGCTGAGCCTGGGGAAGCTGCCGCCACCTCCGCCGCCGCCGCCGCCACCGCCGTCGCTGCCACCCTCTCCATCCTCGCCGCCGGCGACAGCAGCCTCCGCAGCGTCCGTCCCACCGAGCGAGTCGAGGATCTCGTTGATGTGCGCCTCCATTCCCGAGCCCGACTTGATGGCGTACCCGCCCCGCCTCGCCATCTCCTCGCCACTCGTCACAGCCACGAGGGACCGCTCGACTGCGCGCGCCGCGTTCTCGTAGGCAAGCGCGTGATACTCCAGTGTCTTGCCCTCCTCCTCCACCCTGATGAAGCCGGCCATCCGCCACAAAGGCTCAGCTACCCGCGCATTCCACGCTCTCACCCGCGCGGCGGCGGTGACGGCGGCGGAGGCGACGGCAGGGTCGGCCGCGGCGTTGGGGGCAGCGGCGGCGCGGAAGCAGCCGAAACTGCGCGCCCGCTCCCGAGCGGCGGCCTGCCTCTCACTGTCCGGCCCTTCCCACGGCATCAGCCGAGGAATTCGCCGCGCTGAGGTGTCGTCCCGACCCCGCAGCACCCACTCGAGCCCGGCGCAATTCCGGAACTCTGTGAGCCGCGTAAAGCCGCCTGGCCACAGCCGAGAATCCGGCGCGCCCGAGGCTGCCGGGACCCAGCGATGCTCCCTGCCGTCGATAATTGCCACCTCGTTCGGGTCGTCGCTGCCGCCGCCACTGCCGCCCTCGCGACCCGAGTCTACGGCTGCTGCCGGCGGGTCCGCTGGATGCGCGACCGCCGGACGCGGGTCCGGCAGAAAAGGCGGAGAACTGGCAGGCGAGGCGGGCGAGGGGGGCTCGCGGCGCTCCACCTACGGACGTGCGGTGGACGGTCACGGACGTGGACGGCAGCTGCCCCGCCCTCGGCCAGAGCCGCAACCGCGTCGGGGTGCAGGTGCTTGCGGAGCACGCCAGTCCGCGTGCCGTCGGCCGAGAGGACCTTGGAGCACTGCCCGACCCACTCCTGCGTGACGAGGCGCGGCCACTCGTCCCGCGGGATGGTCTTCAGGGACAGCAGCTCCTCGGCGCGGCGATGACACTCGAGTGTAACGTGCGTCGCCTCCTGGACGCCACCCACCACCTCTCCACCGCCGCGCCGCACCACCCCCTCCTGCACCTGCTTGCACAGCCGCGTCGCCACCAGCAGCCGCACGCCACGAAAAATTGTCTGCCTCGTGCGCGGCTCCTCCGAGCACCACTCCGCCTCCGCCGCCTGTGCCTCCGCCGCCTCCGCCTCCGCCTCCACCTCCGCCTCCGCCTCCGCCGCCCCTGCGGGCTCCGTTTCCACCACCGCCGCATGGCCGCCGTCTCTCGACGAGATAGCGAGCGCTCCGCTTCGATGCGGCTCCGCGGAAGGCGCAGCGGAGGATCCGGCGGGAGCGGCATTTTTGTCGCCCACGGGGAGGAGGCGCAAGGACCACCCGCACCAGCCATTGAGCTTCTTGTCCTGGACACCCGCGCGTCCCGCCTCGGCGTGCGGGACGCTGACGAAGAGGAGCGGCGCGTCAGGCGCCTCGCCTCTCAGGCTGAACGGCGCGTTGCCCGCGCACGGCACGACGAGGGTCCGCCGGTCGCGCTCGAGCTTGGCGCCGTTGAGCCAGGTGTCGTTGAGGGCGGATAGGTGCGTCGCGTAGACGCTGCCGTCATCCACTCGCTCCAGTCTGATGTGGTGCTTGGAGAGGTGCGGGTTGTGCGGCGCTGTGACGTCGCCGTCCTTGCCAATCACAATAGTTGGGCTGCAGAGTGGGACGGGACGGCGGCCACACAGGGAGTTATGCGGCACGAGTGAGCCCCAGTGCTCGCGGTCGCGCTTTGGCATTGAAGAGGATGGTAAGGGAGCACGCCGTCTGGGGAGGCGCCTCACGGGCCACGGCAGAAAGCCGAACCTTGGCTGACTGCGAGCGACGCGTCCCGCTTATCCAACTGAAAGGCCTCGGGGGGCGCCCGGGTTGCAACTTATTGCTGGGTATGGTAGGTATTCCCAAAGGGTCGTATAGTCCTGACCGCCCAAGACTAGCCCTCGACAGGGGTGGGGGGGGTATGGTCCCTCGGCCCCTCCCTCTACTGGTCTGCCGCCCCGCCGAGCCCGCCCGCACGCAGCGCCATGAGGTAGGAGCACGCGCCCGTGTCGCGGAGCTGGCTGCTGCAGCTGCTCCACGCTCTCGGCTGCCCCGGGGGCACCATCGCGGACGAGCCCGAGGAACACTCCCTCGTCGCCGAGTTCGGGATGTACTACAAGTCCCCCGAGATTGCGCCGCTGGCGCAGCCGGCCAACCCGCTCGAGGCGACCAGCCGAGCGGGGGCACCCACCGGAGGGGCACCCGCATGCGCCATGCCGATGGAGGACCTCGCCAGTGCGGTGGCCCGCGGGGCGGCCGGCGCGGCGGCCATCGGAGCCGCCCGCGCGGGGACGGCCAGCGCGGCGCCTGCTGGAGCTGGTGCGGGTGCGGCGACCGGCGCGGGTGCCGCGCCCGCCGCTCGCCAGGCGATTGCCAACTTCGCCGCCGCTCGGTGCTGTGGAAGACGGGGTATGGTGGGCGTGGGGGGTGGGGCGGGTTTTGGGTCCCGGTGGCTGGGTCTGCGCAGCAGGCGGGGGGTATGGTCTCGAGGTGGGTTGCGTGATGCTACCATACCCCGCAAAAAGTCCGAACCCTGCGCCGCACGCTGCCGCACAACATAAACCGCGATTCCACCTGCCCCTGCCGTGTGAAACCCAGTGTACCCACACTGCCCTGCCCGGCCCAGCCCACAATGCCCAGCTGCGAATAACTGCCCGCTCGCGAG